CATGGTCTAATCTACTTTTAAATCCCTCCATTGTATGTTCATTTCAGACACTGTATTCTTCAGTGGCTCTTTTTCAGGTTTTCTATCTCTTTATTGAAGTCATCCCTGAGATCTTGAATATTTTTCTGTAAATCTATGAGCATGTTTATGACTTTTATTTTGAAATCCTGATCAAGAAGACTGGTGATCTCTGTTTCATTCAGCCCTCTTTCTGGGGTTCTGTCTTGTAGTTTTGTTTGGACCATATTTCTCTACCTACTCATTTTTTCAGGGTTTCTGTGTTTCTTCCTTTGTATTAGATGTCTCTGCTATGCTTTCTGGCCCTTTTCTGTGTGGTCCTCTCTTCTTCCTCAGGTACAGGTGGTCTGTTCAGTTCATTTTCAGGTATAGTTGCATTGGCCATTATTTTCCTCTTTTCTGTGTTTTGGGAGAAGGTTTCCTTCCATCTTGTCTTCCTATTCCACCATCTTTAATCCCATTAATAAATGTATTCAACATTATACTTAATGGTAAAGGAATGAATGCATGTCTCCTAAGTCAGGAGGATGTCCACTTTCACTTCTTTTCAACATTGTATTAGAAGTTCTAGGCAGCACAGGTGAGAAAATGAAAAGTACACAGATTGGAAAAAAAATGAAAATTTACTTTATTCACAAAGAACCTGATCATATATGCAGAAAATCCAATAGGAGCTATAAGAAAACTTTTAGAATTAGTGAATTTAATAAGGTTGCTAGATATAAGATCTATATACAAAACTCAATTGTATTTCTGTATACTAATAAAGAACACTTAGAAATTGAAAAAACATTTAAATACCACTTCCTATAGCACCAAAAATATGTATAATACTTTGGGACAAATCTGATTTAAAAAATATGAAAGATCTGTGCACTGAACACTACAAAACACTGCTTAGAGAAACCACAGACCAACAAAATTAGAGATATCTTATGTTCACAAGTCAGAAGAATCAGTACTGTCAAGATGTCAGTTTTCCCCAAATTGATGTATAGAGTTGATACAATTCCAATCAAAATCCCAACAGGCAAAAATTTCTTCTTTACAGAAGTTGACAAGGTGGTTATAAATTTCATATGGAAATACAAAGAACCTAAGACAGCCAAAACACTTTGAAAAAGATTTTTGATACAGTTACAATAATCCAAACATTGTGGTACTCGCATAAAGATGTATAATAGATCAATGGAAAAAACAGAGTCCAAAACTAGATACACACATACATGAACAAAAGATTTTTTTTCTTGATGTGCAATGTCAATTCAGTGAAGAAAGGATTGTCTTTTTCAACAAACAGTGCTGAAAAACTGGACACCCATAATGTAAAAAAAAAATTTTTTTAACTTCAGGCCATCTCTTACACTATACAAAAACATTAACTAAAAAATCTTCAAAAATCTTCAGAAACTCAAATGTAAACTAAAAACTATGAAACTTAAATGGGAGAAAAACCTAGTAACCTCAGGTAAAGCAAAGGTTTCTAGATACCAGCAGAAGGATGATATAAAGAGTAAAAATTAAGTACATTAGACTTCATCAAAATTACAAACATCTACTTTTCAAGACTCTGTTAAAAGAAGAAAGAGACAAGCCACAGACTGGGAGAAAATATTTGCAAAGCATATATCCAAAATAGAACTTATATCTAGAATATATAAAAAATTTTCAAAACTCAAAAATAAGAAAACAAACTACCCAGTTTAAAAATTGGGCCAACAACTTCAACAGACACTTCACCACTGAAGATCTTTGGATGGCAAATAGCAAATGAAAAGATTCTCAACATCACTAATCATTAGAAAATTGCAAATTAAAACTACAATGAGCTATCATAACATACCTACTACAATGACTAAAATCTAAAAGACTAACAATAACAAGTATTGACAAGGATGTAGAGAAACTGGAACTCTTACATAGCACTAACAGAAACATAAAAATTATGTAATCCCTGGCAAAAAGCTTGGCAGTTTTTTAAAAAGCTGAATATATACCTATCATTGATTTAGCCATTTTTTAATAGATATTTACCCAAGAGAAATTATGCATTCAAGGAATGCTCAAGAAATATGAATGCTCATAGCAGTTGTATTGAGAGCCCGAAATTGTACATAAACCAAGGGTGAACAAGTGAACAAATAAATAATGGTATATACATACAATGGAATAGATCAATAAAAAGGAATAAACTGATACATGCAACAATAGGCATGAATCTCAAAATAATTTTGCCAAGTAAAAGAAGCTATACCTTCACCACCTGCCCCAAAAACAGTACATGACTCAATTTTAATGAAATTATAGGACATTTAAGCAAATCTGGAGACAGAAAGCATGTCAGTGGCTGCCAAGAGCAGAGTAAAGGTGGGGTGGGGAACATTTTAAAGTGGCAAAAAGAAACCTTTGGGTTTGGTGCATGTGTTCATTATCTTGATTGTGGTAATGTTTTCATGGTTGTATTCATGTATCAAAACCTACCAAGTTGAACATTCTAAATGAGTGTAATTGATTTTATGACAATTATACCTCAATGAAGTTAATATAAAACAAAACAAAAACAAATACTGAGGATTTTGGTCCAAACTGCCCCAAATCACAAAATTTCCATCAATTGACAATGAAAAGCCTACAGAATAAGCCAACTGTGAAGGGCAAAATGGAAGTTCAGTTTTTAAAACATTGAGTTTGAAATGTTTATAAGCTATGCAGGTGGATACAACCAGGCAAGTAGATATGAAAATCTAGAGTTCAGTAAAGAAGTCTGAGATAATAAAAATGTGGGAGTCTTTGGCATATGGAAGGACTATGAAAGTCAGAGGGCTTGAAAGAAGCAGACACTGTTCAATAAAAATTAGTAAAATGAATAAAAGTCCTAAGTATTTTACATTATTATTTATTTCATCCTAACAGAAACCTTATGAAGTAGGAACTACTATCTATCTCAATTTTATAGAAGAGACTGAGGCATTGGGAAGTGAATCCCTGGGGGTAAAAGAAGGTAAGTCAAACATCTCTAGACTATTAGCCAATAAAATAAAGTAGTCAAAGATTTAATAAACCTAGAAACAAATCCCCAAAATCCATAATTGAAGTTAGTTATCTCCCTTAAATTTTATATTAAAATCAATATAATCTACAACTGAAGAGATTAAAATCTGTGCCACTCAACTACTATATTTGTGTCACTTTAAAACTTCTAGAAGGAAAAAGCAGGACATTTTAAGCTGGTTAGCCTCAGATGAAGAAGAAACTAAAGTATAAAAGTTTAATGATGAAAAAAGAACTTGAACTATGACCAAACAGAGAAAGAAACTATATTACGGTCTACTGGAGGCAAAAAAGAAGGGTCTAAGTTGGTATCTGGGAAATGAACTAGTGGGTAAAATATCAGAAGATCCTAGTCTAGGAGAGTGTAATTTAAATTTCAAAGAAATATGTTCACTGATTTTTAATTCTAACCTTTCAAAAAAAAAGAAAGCTCAGAAAGGTTAAAATACTACATCAAATGCCATAATAAAGGATATATAATTGGAGACTAGAAAGGCCATCCTTTGTTACAAAAGAAATTGTGTTAATAATGCCTCATTCAGACAAAATGGGAGACTAATACTAGACTTCTTACAACTTTTTTCATTAAATACTATTATTCTTTCCACTTAAGCTCATTATAAACTATACTAATTAATCAACATAATTATCTTCACTTACATAAGACCTTGACTCACTGAAGATCTTTAATACTGTCTCAAGAAATACATTCAATTTTGTTCTGGTTCTTTCTTAACAGCTTAATAATTTTTTTCAAAGCCTTTCATCCATACTGGTCACTGGCATATCAGTTTCATTTCAACTCTTTACCAAGAAATAAGGAAAAGACAATAAAAATACGATCAACAGCATGTCACATCTGTCTGTATGTCCTGGTCAAAAGGTAGGAGGGATGGGTCTCTGTAATCCAAGTTAAACAAAGTGGTCAGTATATCACCAAAAAACTGGACTTACTAACTTGTTTACAAAAGCTGAGTTATAGTCATCCTGACTTTGAGGAGGTTGGAGGAATCAATACATTTTTTTAATACATTTTAATAATTACCTTATTAGAATCCATGAAGAGAACCTAAAGTTTTCTAAAAATTCATTAGGATACCAAAAATGTGCTTTAATTACAAGGGTTTCATTAACTCATGAGATGAGCTGTTTTCAATAAAATTATGCATTGAAAAGTTCAATGAATAGCAAATACCAACATCTACCCAGCTGATATAATTTATCATCAACTTCTGAAAATTCTCTCAAAAGTTGCCCATTTCGCTCCATTCTTACTATTTTATTTCATCACTATCAGCTCTTGCCTGAATTATTGCAGCAACTTTTTAACCAACTCTTCTGAACTAGTCGGCACAGAGGTAAAATTCAAATTTCTAAAAGGAGCTATATAAAGCACTTCATGATCTGACATGCTCGTGTTTTACCACTACTATACATTCATCCACCCAATATGCCCAACACCAGGAATGCGTGTCCTCCATGTACACATACGCCTCAGCCATACTCATCAATCTGCAGGCCTCCCAAAACAACAGCTGCTCTTAAAGCCTCTGCACATGTTGCTCCCCTGAATGGACTGTTCTCTTCACCCCCATCCCGTTTTGCTAACTCTCACTCCATTATCTTCTTAATCCAACGACTTCCCTACTAACCCCATTTGATGACTCATAGCACCCCACATTTAGCCTTCACTTAATTCTCACTCTGAATCATAATTGCCTATTGACCTAACTTTATGTCATACTATAACATAAGCTTTCCAAGGGTAGGGGATGGTGTCTTATTTACTATTGTGGCCTCAGCATCTAATTCAAGGCTTGACCCATAATAGAAACTGAGCAAACTCATTCAGTTAATGTATTGTGAAGGGTACATTCATTCAGAAGAGACACATAACAGTTTAAACAATCTTAATTAAGGAAATAACATACCTGTCTTTCCAACTCTTGTCCTGTTATGCCAGCCTCTACATGAGCTGTCAAATTATTCTCATCAACCCAGAGGATTCTATTCTGTTGCAAAGGAAAAAAGAAATCTCATTTCCATGAACTACTGACATTTCCTCAGGAAACGTGCCTAACTCAAAAAAGCAAGTGACAAGATGGTAATGAAGCAAACAGGGTTTCCCACACTATATACTCCATTTATCCCTTACTATACAATGTGACAGACATAGTAATATAGGCAGTACATTGTGCAAGAGTTAGTTTAAAACATAGACTGTCTTTATTCAGATATTAATTTGAATTAAACTTTACCTCTTAACTTAAGAAAATTATTTAACTGTCTAAGCTTAGTGTTTCCTCATTTGTAAGGTGTGGATAGTAATACCTACTCCCAGGGTTGGCATAGGATTAAATGAGATACTGCACATGAAAAGCTTAGCATCCATAGTTTTTGGCATTCTGAAAATAATATCTGCTCTACCATCAATAGTTAGCAATCATATCATTTAAGAATTCATTTTAGAATATCAGAAGATGACCACTTTGAGCAGAAGATGATACCTGAAAAGACATTTGAATATAGTAGTGAATGGGATCCCTGCTTTATTTTCAACCCAAAATAAGACCACAGATTCTAGGTAGACAACAAAGCACATCCCTGCCTCTTGCTGAAAAAAAGGAACTGAATATCACTGACTCAACTTCTACCAAATGTATGTATGACTGCCCCCAAAAATGTTTTTAACATTCTTATTTTACCTAATTTTTACATATATGAATCCTCATGAATTATTTTCTACTATTAAGAGCAACTACTTTCCCCTTCTATTTGGCGGAGCGATCAGGTCCAGAATCTTCTTCTGGACCCCAGGGAAGCTTATTTTGCACTTTGATATGTTCAATTTCATGGCAATAACTAATGTACGTAAGTGTAGTTAGTAATAAAAAGGAAAGAATACAATAGACAATAAAAAAATAACAGTTTCTATCTTTATTCCAAATTTGAACACATATACAAACAACTGCACTGCTTAATTCACAGGGTTATGATAAACGTTAAGATGATATATGTGAATATACTTTTTGTTTTATGTTATATCGTAACTAAAATAATTATGCTCTCACATCAAGACATTAGTGATTTCAATGTAACTATGGCAAAATCAGGCTTTTGGTTCTATGGTAGCTAAACAAAAGGAAGTATTAAACTGCAAAGTAGTAAGGCAGAATTTAGTAATCTGTTGGTACCTTATATTAAAGAAATTTATATACATCTTCTCCCCCAGTAGGTTGGCTCTTGAGACAATTACATAGTTCTGCTAATTATATACCTTCTGCTTACCAGGGATCCAAACATATTTTTGGTTGAATAAAGAAACCCAGGTGGCAAAGAAGAAAACCACCTTTATAGGCACTCAACAGAGAAACCTACAGGAAATGTACAGGCCACCCTATTACATCCAGTATATACTATCCAACATAAGTTAAAACAAAAACTTTAAGTCCAACAGGTCTTAATGTTATTGGATACATTTAAGTAAACTGACAGACAACTAATACTCATATTTTTGTACACACTGTATCAGAAGTATGCTATGCAAAATCATGCAGACATAGCTTACTGACTTTAATGCAGATCACAAGTACCACCCATCTACTACAATATTTGAGGGAGTTCAGTGTTAAAAACAGTGAATATATAAGGTTTTACTATAAAATAAATGGTTGAAAACCTGGCATTTAAAATTCTGCCACAGAATTTTAAGTATCTACTCACTATAATGACTTTTACTTATATTATCTCACTTAATCTTCATAATAACCTTCTGCAGTATTACTGTCTCTATTTTATATATCCAGTAACAGATTTAACAGTAAATTCACACATAGTAAGAGCCAGAAATTCAAATACATCTTCTAAGGAAATTGCCTATGCTTAAAGTCTGGAATAAAGACAAAAGTTAACAGGGAACTTTACAGTTAAATAATCAGGCTGTCACCATATGAACTTGCTGATAAGTTTTAACAACACTGAAAGCAGACAACTAGCTATTATGTGCCTCCTGATATGATGTGACGTACAAAAACACATCAGCATCTATGAGATATCCTTGCTTAAAAATGTTTTAAAGCTATACTAGAATCTAACTAGACTTTATATCTAACTTCCAGTTTAGAAAGCATACAAAGCCTAGAGGAAGAGTTAAATGATATCAAGCAGCAGCAACCAGCAAATTCAAAATATGACATATCCTATACAACAAATAACCTAGTTTTTCCAAAAGTCAGTAATGTGCAAAAAGGAAGTAGAGGGTTTCAGAAAAACTGGGACTTAAAGAAACAACCAAAAGCTAACATGAGCCTTGTCTGAATCCCCATTTGAAAAAATGAACTGTAAAATAAAGACAATTTTGAGGCACCTGGAAAATTTGAATTTGGAGTAGGTATTAAATGATAGGAGGAATTGCTTATAATTAGCCAGGAGAGATAGTAATATAGTAAGAAAACATCTTTTTTTAAAAAAGATACACATAGATACTTAGGTGTAAAGTAGCAAAATATTAGGATTTGCTTTAAAAACAGAGGAAAAAAGAAAACAAAGCTAATACGACAAAATGTTAATATTTAATACAGAGAATAGATATGATACACTATTCTCTCTACTTTGGTGTTCAAAAGAATTTCTAACTAATTAAGTAATTAAGTATATAATTTTTTAAAATTTATTATATTGAAGGAATATGTAACCAGAAATACTGCTGACTATACAAAGGTTAAGTTCATACCCAAATTAAAACTTTAAAACAGACAGTATATATTTTCAGTGACAACTGAGACTGAATTTTAGATAATTTTTTAAAACAAACACAAACTTTAAATATGTTTTAAATTATCCTATACCATTTGTGAAGTGTCCAAAGAAATAATTGTTCTTTTCTCATCTGCAGGACACATTAGGCCATATGAGACACTTGTTCCTCCTGCAAAATAGGAAACAACAACTTTATGTTTAAATATTTTCTTCTTAGCTACATTTGTAGGACAAATCCCTAATATAAAGTATACAGACAGGCCCAGTAGGAAAGTAATACCTATTTCTACTTTGCAAAATGTAATTTGCAAATGCTAACACACTAAATGTAAACTCACCTTTATTTTATGCTGCATGCCAAAATGAAGAAATATTATGGAGCTGAAAGCAATGGAGTATGGCTCCATCCCCTAGGCACACTTAAGTGAAGCCCCTAGCAATTTGTGGAACTCCAAAAAATGTGATTAGAAAAGTTCCAAGCTAATGATAACTGTAGAAAGATAGCTTAGAAAAAAAAAAATCCTATACAACAAGAGATACTAATACCTCCTTTCTACCATAATTATGAGATTCACTTAGCATTTAAAATGGCTTACATTCCCATATTAAAACTTTAATAAATTAGAATATAAATAAGATAAAATTGCCCAGATTACAAGACATTCAAAAACAAATTTGAATGTTGTTTCATGAAAAACATAGTATGTTACTTACGGTGTTTAACATAGAATAAATAATACACAGTATTTAAACAATGTACTTATGTTTACCATTAACATTTCTTGTCAAAATAAAAATGTTTTCTTGATACCCATACAGAATAATATGCTGTTCTCAGTTCTTAAACAGATCTGTATCACCCATTTATCAGAATAAAAATTCTAAATGGTAATTCCATGAGTTTTGGACAGAAAACATGTGAAAGTCACTTTGATACAAAATACTAATTATAGGAGGTGTTGATCTACAAGGTTCAGTTTAATTTTACAGGGTAAGACTGTAAATTGTCACTTAAGAACATGCCTGTGATTAATAACCACCATTTGTTTGCACAGTCATTTGAAGTCAGAAAAATATTTCACTAAAAGTGGCATTGTAGTGCTTTTTTGCATGAATTCAACAGAAAGCATCATGCAAAAACAAAAAGGAATCTTGGAGTTTCTGGCTTTGTTGGAGTCTCATTTCTATTCCATCAATGCCAAATAAATCAGTGAAAGTAATTTCCTTTGGGTTGTATAAATCAATGTGATTGATCAAAGATTAAGAGAGATCTAATTTTTCTTAAAATGCCAATAATGTTAGTTTTTGGTATTAAAAGATTGATTTGGTCATCATTGCCATAGGTGATCTTTTATGCTACATAGCACTCCTTCTCAAAGAATTATGTTGGGTATATTTAGCCTTTGAAAATTAATATTCTCTCCATGATGATAAAGGTTAGAAAGTAATTACTAAAGCAAGAACATTTCCTTATTGGGGCACTAAGTCATGACATCAACTAGGATCTACACAGGAAGGAAGCCATAAACTAAGGATTCATGATTTCTCAAAGGGTTTAGGTAGATCTACTTGACAGAAATGTGTAGCATAAATCAATCTTTCAGAATAACCATATCATAATTATAAGAATGTTTATTTTGTGTGGAATGGCACAAGTATTTAAAATACAAATATTTGAAATAGAAAGAACAAATTCATATATTTAAATTCAAAAGGCAGAATACCTACCACCAATTGGTATGATACAAAGGTTATATTTGCACGCTAGATTCACAATCTTAACTACATCATCATGACATGCTGTTGAAAAAAGGGAAAACAAATTAATCACAGGGACATGAATAAAACCTGGGTAACCCTGCAAAACAAGGGTCTATAAAGTTCTTTAGTGTCTAACTTTTCCTTCATTCACTCACTCATCAATGCATTAACTATATCAAACTATTTATAATTTATCTTAACTTTTCATTTTGAAATAATTTCATACCTACAAAAGTTGCAAAAACGGTACGAAGAATTTCCTTCTATGCAGCAGCTACACATACTAATATCTTATATAATTCTAGTTCAATTATTAAAAGCAAGCAATTGACACTGATAAAATACTATTTATTTAAAATTTCCCTTTTTGTTCATTAATGTCCTCTTTTCTGGACCAGGATCACACATTGCATTTAGTTGTCACATCTCCAGTCTTCTTTAACCTGAGACAGTTCCTCAATCTATCTTGGACTTTCATGATCTTGACACTTTTGAAGAGCACTGCTATTATTTCCTGGACTATCTCTCAATTTGGGTTTGTATGTTTCCTCATGATTAAAATTCAGATTATACATTTCGGCATGAATTTCACAGAAGTGATGTGCCTTTCTCAGTCTGTTACCTCTGGAGGTGCATGATGTAGGTAAGTCTCATTCAGGTAATGTTAACTTTCATCATTTGGTTATACAGTATTTGCTAGATTTCTCCACTCTAAAAATACTATAGTTAATATGTATTCTTCCCCATGTTGGCAAAGAAGTAGCCTAAGGCTAAAAAACAGGCAGGTAAAATGAAAACATTTCTACTATTTGAGAATATCTTTCTTTTTTTCAAGAATGGCTAAATTTCTATACTAAACAAACAGAGAAAAAAGAATTATTTCATAACTATCCAAATATACAGACATATATATATCATGAGTATCAGAAAAGCAATTTCATCTCAGTTATATATATATGCTCTTGGATTTTCCTCCTAAGTATGTCACCTCCTTTCTACCTGCATATTAAGGTTATGATATTTCCAGATACTCCCTGCAAAACAGAAGGATCACATGTAAGAACTGAGAGTCCATGAGAGTCAATTTTTCAAAAAGTAAAACTCTCTATATATTCCTTTCATAAAGTCTGAAGAGGAACATGATCAGAATACCAATGAAACTTTAAAAAAATATAATTATGTACAGTAAGAAACAATGTACCTGTTCTGCTTTAAATTTTCTGCTAAGAGATGGGTATAAAAACCATATATATAAATATAGTACTAATTATCAGCAAGAGCAAAATAACAGAAAACTCATCCATCTGCTATCTCAAGCCAAATCCCTGAATGAAATTAGTTTCTCAAAGTTTAAGTATTTATATCAAAGACAGTATGTATATTATTGTTTTGCTATTTGAACACCATCCTTTTCGGCCCAAAAGCTGGTATCAAAAATTATTATAATTTGCCATAATCATTATGTTAAAGTAAAAATTTCTATACATCTAAATATGTCACTGATTGATACTAATTTCATTAAGCTTTCAAATTTACCAGAAACACATTTTTCTACTGACTTCACACTATAGTTACATTTTAACTTAATCACTACCAACAAAATCAATCATTAAAACCAACAGTTCAGGATGATCAGATCAAGAAAAAAACTACACATTTCTAAAACTAAATTTACTTTTAAGATTTAACAATACTCAATTAATGATACAAAGAAAAAAAAAAACTTACTTGGCCATAAAACTATATCAGGAATTCGCTGAAATATTCCTTCCCTGAGCAAAAATATCTCATGAAGACAATGACCTGTTTTGTGGTTTTAAAAAAAATGCAAAAACATCTCAATTTATAGGGAGTTTAAAAATTGAAAATAAGTAGCTCTTATATAAAGTTGCTTACCATGAGCTCTAAATACTCGATCATCTGCTTCTTGTGAATATGAAATACTAGTTTCTTTAAGGTCACAAAGAAAATCTTCATTTACAATAGAAGGAGGTGTATCACTAGGATTTAAGGATGCCTAGGAAATAAAATGTTTGACTTATTTCTAGAAAATAAATATTGAATACCTCCATTAGGAAGAGTGAGGATAAAATGTACCTTTTTAAATATACAAACTAAGACAGAAATGTAGGAAAATACCAAATAATACATATGGAAACCAATTTTGTGACAGTAACAATTTATAAATAGTCTGGTTAATCAAATTCAGTAATGTAAGTTACAGAAGTCTTATGTTTCCTCTTTCGCTTCCATGGTCCACCTTTTCATTTTACTGAAGATTGCAGTCAAGAAAAGGGAGGTAGAAAAGTTTCAAATCTTTAATTTTAGGCTAAGGAGATTGGAGGGAAACTACTTGACTTGCATTACCTACATTTTCACCTGTAGATAAGTAACCATTTCCTCTATACTTCAATTACCGTTTTTAAATGACCAGCAAGAAGCCTCCCAATAAGTAATAAAACCATTTTTATAGGGCTGCTCTAAAACTCACAACATAATTATAAACTTGATACTTTATTTCAACTAATAGATAACTTGAAAGATAAATCTTCAATTTTACAGTCATGTGACACTGGGCAGGTCACCCGACTTCTGTGAGCCTTGGCTTCTTCATCTGTTAAATGAAATGTTAAGTCATCGTCATCAAATGTATACATATATCTACCATAAGGAAGGAAGGTTAAATGTGGTAATTTTTGTGAAAAACACCAAATACCATATCCAGCACACAGGAAGAGCTCTATAAATCAAACTGGTCTGAAATCAAATCCGCTGTGAAAAAAAAGCTATGAAGCTATGGTAGAAAAAAGAAAATGTAAGAATATGTAAAGAAAAAAATGCTACTTATATAGTCTTTCAGTACCTTATTAAAGTTCTGCATTTAATATTCAATTATATAGTAAGTATTCATTGAGTACATGCTATAAGCTAGCACTATTCTAGGCCCTAGGGATATAGCAGTGAGTTAAAGAGGAAAAAAAAACTCGCCCCTATGATTTTATGCTATAATGGAAGGAAGTGACCAAAAGAAATTCCAAAACACATAGAGATTATTATTTTGTTAAGTTACTGAAAATTGGGAAGGGCTCACCAATGTAAAAAACAAAAGGTGCATGGAAAGTTGATGAGATTTCTGAATATGATAAACTGCATCAATGTCAAAAAAAGGTAATTACTAATAGTCAAAAGAGAGAATTATAAAATAAAAAACACCTTTTAAGAAATTAAAAGAACTTTATTTGGAAGGAGCAGGAATTAGTTGTTTAGTCTAACTTAATTGGTAAAATAAAATGTAATTGTGGATTTATAAATAAACCAAGCAAGTATGCACTGAATACCTACAGTCCTTACAAGGATATGGTGGAGAATATGTAAGTAATAGCTCCTGCACTTACAGAACCTATATCCAAAACCAGTTACAGGGACATGCAGAATATCATGCCATAGCAAATAATAGTAAGTAATAAAAATAAAGAAGTAGTAATAAATATAAATAATAGAGATAAGAAATGTTAACTATTTGATTGGTTTGACATGCACACAGTTTAAAGTTTTCTAACTCGTTTCAGAAAAGTGAAACTACATAACTATGTAGTTATCTTAATCAAGTGTTCACTTTTTTCTAAGCCTTCAAAAATTTTAAGTGCTTTGATATTAAATTAACATATTTTATATTATTCTACATTAATCCTAAAATAGTCCATTAAATAACATAAAAATAATGGCAACTTGTATTTTTGTAACAAAGTGCTCTCACAGAATTAATTCACTTGAACTTCACTACTACCCTGTAAGAGGTAAAAGATAGTTATGACTCACTTCTCAAATTAGGATAACTAAGACTGAGATAGGATAAAAAGTTTACCAGATAAACGTCAGGTAAATTCTGATATTAGGATCTAGATCTGTGATGCTAAAAAGCCACTCCTAGTAAACCTAACAAGGCCATTATACTTGCTAAATTTATTAACCAAAAAACATGACAAATGCATTAAAGCAACTATAACAAATTATAAAAATAAGCCTAATTAATTTGGGATTAAACACACACGCGCGCGCACGCACACACAGAGTTAAGCATATTAGTAATCATTCTTATTTGCTTACTTTAGAGGTAGTTTTATGCTCCATACTTGCTCCAAGGGTATTTTGAATCCAGTCTTTAAAAGTTGGCAAAATCATGCCACTAAGAGGGTACCTAAGGTACAAAGAAATAAAACATTAGAGTACAGTATATTCATTTAAATTTAAATCTTCTGACTTCTAGTAGTCATATACAAACATACACTGTGGGCAAAATCAAAACAAAACAAAACCCAAACTATCCCAAAGCAGTATAGATAGACCAAAAGCAGACAAAAATAGGGGGTAAGGGGTTTCCTACATGTGGAAGAAGGAAAACAGCACTACCTGAGTTTCCAGTTTTATTTTTTTAGACAGGTTTTAGCCTGAGAGAAAGCCCCATATAGTACCAAAAAAAAGGAAATAAAAATGTAGAAAACCTCCAGTCTTCCTAGCTTGAAAGAACCCAAGGACAGTATTTGCAGTAAACACAGCATCTGGAAGAGTACAGGACATCACAGAAAAGGAGAAATTCAGAGAGGGACCTATGCATAAACTCTGTCCAAATGTCCAGCTGACCCTGAATCACACATACACGGAGCAGACTCTAAAACAGCCCAGCTAAGCATAAAAGAACTGAACTCAGGGGCTCACCACCACAGAGGTAAAGAATTGGGAGTATGAGATCAGTCAAGTAAACTGCTTGACAAAAGAAAAAAAAAGCCCCTTCAGAAAGACAAAGCAGAATCCAGAGTTTCTACAACATATCATTAACAATGTCCAAGATACATCCAAAATTATCAAACATGAACAAACAAGAAAAGTATGATCCATAATCAAGAGAAAGGGCAATTAATGAGGACTGACCCCAACATGATCCAAGATACTAGAAATAGCATACAGCATTTTTTTTATTAAGGTATCATCGATATACAATCTTATGCTCAGGTTTTACATGAGCAGCATTGTGGTTACTACATTCCCCCCATTATCAAGTCCCCACCACATACCCACTGTCCATCAGCATAGTAAGATGCTATAGAGTCACTACTTGTCTTCTCTTATACCGCCAGCAAACAACATCTTAATACAGCAATAACTATGCTGAAGGGCAAAAGGGAAAATATGTTCCCAATGAGCAAAAGAAGAAATCTGAGCAGAGAAACAGAAATTATCAAAAGAACAAAACAGAAATTCTATAGTTAAAACTCTGCAATAAAAATTCATTGGAGGAATTTATGAACAGATTGGAGGTATTAGTGAACTTAGAGCAATAAAACATACACAACATGACAGAAAAAAAGACTAAAAAGAACAAACAGAGCTTCAGGGACCTACAGAATAACACACATGTTAGTAAAAGACTAACATACATATAAATGGAGTCCCAAGAAGAGAAACGAAGGAAACGTAAAGGTATTTTAAGAAATAATGACAGGAAGTTTTCAAATTTGATGAAAGACATAAATGTACAAATTCAAGAAGGTTAGAGAATTCTAAGAAGATTAATTCAAAGAAAGACACTAGGCACATCATAGTCAAATGATTTATTTAAAAGATAGAGAACACCTTAAAATATCTAGGGATAAATGTCACATTATATACAATATAATAAAAAAAAATTATGACTGACTTCTCATCAGAAAGAGTGAAGTCCAGGAAACAACTAAACATTTTTTAAGTGCTAAAGGAAAAGATTGTCAACCTAGAATTCTGTATCTGGTGGAAGTACCCTTCAAAAATCGAAGTGACATAAAGGCATTTTCAGATTGAAAACTAAGAACTTGGTGCCAGCAGACCTACACTACAAGAAATGCTGAAGTGATTTATATCAACTAAAGGGAAATATAACACTAAATATAAACTGAAATCTTCAAGAAGGAATAGTACTAGACAGAGTAAATATGTGGATAAATAAAAATGACCATTTTTTCCTTAATTTCCTTAAAAAATGTATGACTGTTTTTAAAATTATAACATTGTATCATGGATACAATATGACAACTATAAAAAACAGAGATTTGCAAGATTTTACATGAAAAAGATTTGCAAGGTACTTAGATTTTACATGAAGCACAAAAAATGTACAACACACACAAAAAAGGCTCTATAGAGCAGGTATGAAGGCTCTACGGAGAATGAAAAAAACTAGATTTGCTACTCATATTTTGTTTGCTATGTCCCTTCATTCCAATCCCAATTTAAATAATTTATATGAAACATGAACAGTATTTTATACATACAAGAAATCCTAAATGTCATATATATGAGAAGACTAAGCACTTGAGTTTTCTGCATCAAAGACCCAACTTTTCAGTTTTGGAAATACTTGTCAGAGGAGGCAAAATATGAAATAACAGTAAGTGCTACAAATAGATAAAATAAGTATGCTAACCTAGATTACTGTATTAAATAAGGCTAACAGGTAAACTATAACAATCCACTGTATTAAAGCAGCAATAATATAACAGTTCTCTGAAAAAAACAAAACAAATTTTAAAATGTACATTTTAAAATAGTACTTTAAAATTATTCAACTAAACAAACAGCAAGTGTTTTATGTATATTAGTTTATAATAATGTCATGAAGTTGATAATATTATCCCCATTTCATAGATAAGGAAGCTAAGGCACAGAGAAGTTAAATAACTTAAGATTCAAGGTCACAGCTAGTAAGTTACAAAACCAGAATCTAAACCAGTTAATAAACAAGGCTTTGGTCTGTGCTCTTAGCCACTATAAAATGCTGCCTCTAGTCTGATTCTTCCCTCACCATCACTCCACGTGAGATCATTATTTTAAAATCCTTTATGAATAATATTTATAAAATCATGGTAGCTAATATTCAGCAATTTTTTCACTAACTCAATAATTGTTTAACTTCTCTACCCTCCCCTCCATGATGATGAAGAAGCCAAATTACTGAATTACTGCTGTTTGATTTTTGATTTTATAAATATTTTATTTACAAAGTATTGAAGTTTACACATGTACAAAAATACAAGTAATAAGTATACAGCTGAATAAGGTTCTATAAAGTAAACCTCCCATGTAATCAGCATTCAGATTCAGAAATAGAACATTGCCAGTACCCATGAAACACCTCCAGCACCCATGAAACACCTCTCTCCAACGCTCCTTTTCAGGCACTACCACTTTTCCCCACGCCAAAGGAAAACCACCTACCCTGACTGTTACTATCACAGGGTAATTTTTACTGTTTTTGAACTTGTTATAAATGAAGTCAAACAAAATGTAGTCTTTTGTATCTGCCTTCTTTTGTTCAATATTATGTTGATGAGATTCATCTGTGTTTGTAACAGGGAGCTGCATTTCGTTCATGTCCATGGCTTAAATTCTACTGTGCAAGTACAACACAATTTATTTACCCTACTGTATTGCCAACAGACAACTAAGCTGTTTATAGTTTTTGGTGCATGCAAGGACATTCTTGAGCTTGTTTTCTAAGGAAATGTAGCACAAGTTTCCGACAGGTATTTAAGTAGGGTAATTTCTAGGCCATAGTTATGCCTAAGTTTAGCTTTAGTAGATGCTTCAGTTTTCCAACACGTTTATAGCTAGCAGTGTCTGAAGAGTTCTACTTGTTCCACATCCTCCCCTGACCTTGGTGCTGTAGTTCTTTTAATGTGAGACAATCCTACTGGTAACCCTATAACTTTAATTTTAATTTCTCTGATTACCTACAGATTGAGCTTCTATTCATGTATCTATTGTCCATTTGGATAGCCTCTTTTCAATGCCAGTTCATCTTTTACACAGCATCCCAGTGGGTTGTTATGGTTTTCTCACTGCTGTATAAGAATTCTTTATTATTCTGGAATTGAGGATGTATGCATTAAATGTTTTCTATTACTTTGCAAATTGTCATTCATTCTCTTAAAAGAATCTTTTGATGAAAACAAGTTCTAAATTTTAATATTGTCTAACTGATTCACTTTTTACTTTATAGTTAATGAGTTTTGTTCTCTGCTTTTTGCCTACCTCAAATTCAGGAAGGCATTCTGTATATTCTTCTATCACTTCTATAGTTTTAGTTTATACACTTAGGTCTATAATTTATCTGGAATTAATCTCTGTATTTGGTATGACGTAAGGTCAAAATTAATTTTTTTCCCAAGACGGTAGCTTAAATCCTCTTATTTTTTATTTATTTTGTTGTATGTCTCGGTGTTTAAATGGAGAAAATAAGACATACGCCAGTAGTCACAATCTATTTCAGATCAAAGAACAATAAAACCAATACTGAAAGCAAACCAGAATATGATATAAATTGTTCTTAATATCTATATATTGCAAGCTATGTATAATGTTCAAAATGTGACACTTGTACAAACAAAACAGCAGCAGAATCACAGAACCCAAGAATGGACTAATAGTTACCAAAGGGAAAGGGACTGGGGATGATGGGTGGGAAGGGAGGGATAGGGCGGGGAAAAAGAAAGAGGGCATTACGCTTAGCATGTATACTGCATGGGGGGCACGGGGAGGGCTGTGCAACACAGAGAAGACAAGTAGTGATTTTACAGCATCTTACTATGCAGATGGACAGTTTGACTGTGAAGGGGTATGTGCAGGGGACTTGGTGAAGGGGGGAACCTAGTAAACATAATGTTCTTTCTGTAATTGTAGATTTATGATGAAAGAAAGAAAGAAAGAAAGAAAGAGAGAGAGAGAGAGAGAGAGAGAGAGAGAGAGAGAGAGAGAGAGAGAGAGA